TCTCCCCCCTCCCCCCGGGAGCGGCCAGCCGGCACCCCGCACACCCCGCGGCTGGCTGCCCTCGCAGCCCAGGTCTTCCCGGAGCAGCTTGCTGGTGACGAGGCAGCCCCAGCTCACAGGAGCTGCTGCTCCCCGGCCCTAGACCCCACAGCATCCAGGCAGAGAAGGGCTCTACCTGGCGCTCTCAACATCCTGCTGTTGGATACAGCGCTTGGCGATCCCCACGAGCTCACGCTCCCACATCTCTCCGTCGCTTGCCTTGGCCCTCTCCCAGACTGGAGAACAGACAAATAAGGCAGTGTGTCTCCAAGCCTGCTTGCCAAGGGGAACGTGCCCTTCTGAAATGGCTCATGCCCCCCCAAGAAGGGGCTGGTTCTTAGCCAATGCCTGGGTAAGAGCCCGTCGCCCCTGCCTCCCAGCACAGCTCCCACCGCAAGACTGCCAGTCCCTCTGCGCAGCACAAGGGACACGCTCGGCTTCCTGCAGTGCCTTTTGCAAGCAAAACCATGGCCACCAAACCCCAGCCTGGCATGCAGTCCCTCCCTAGGAGGAAAAAGCTTCCTTAACCGAGGGCAGCCACATACGGCTCAGCTCGCTGAGCACCGTAAATCTTCCACGAGCGACACGCCAGTACGTCCCCCACTCTGGGGTGGGGAGCTCACCCCTCGCATGCAGGCAGTGGCTATGTGCACCCATAGGTTAAATCTGCTGCAGCCAAGGAGTTAGCCCTGGACCCGAGCACCCGCACCCTTTGAAGCTGGGGTCTGTGCAGGAACATCCCTCACGAAGGAGCCCCTGGCACAGCTGCTCCGTGCAGCACAGCACCTTTCAGCCACACGCCGCGGAGGGCTGGCCATGGGGGCACCAACACGCTTCCAGGGAACACAGCAAGGGAGCTCAGTTAGTTACGGCAGCCTCGAGCTCTCCAGGAGATCATGTGCTTCCACTCCATGCAGGAGCTGGCACCGCTCTCACCTTGCTTTGAATTTAACCAGTGCAGCTCTCTCGTCATGCGGTTTTGAGAGCAAGTGGGCAGTCATGGAGAGGCAGCTCCTGGGGCAGCTCCAAGCTGCAGATCTGTTTGAAACAGAGGAGGTTTACAAACTGAAGAAAATGCAAAAACAAAATCAGCAGTGGGCAATACCTTCTCTACATTCTCACAGCACCAAAGCTCCCACCCGCATCCGCACCAGACCGGCACAGGGCAGTCGGAAAGCAGCCAGGTACCAGGCGATGTGACGGGCACCAG